CTAGATATTTTGATATATTTTGAGCGGCTAAAATGACGTTTTGTCATCAAGGGCTGTTCAATCCACAACTGGTTTTTACAATCATATTTTTTCTACAATCCAGAATTAAAATACAATGTCCAAACCTCAATATATATATATATATTCCAATCCACGTTTAAAAAATAAAAACGATCACGACAATCCAGATGCATTTTTTGCTAGTTACTGCAACCCGTGGGCAGCCAATGTATTGGACGGATCATATATTGTGCTGGACATCAATTTGAAAAGCGCTCCTAAAAAAGAACTTTCAAGCAATGGACTCTGTGGGGAGTTGATACAATTTGTCAAGGGGAAAGAAACTCTACAACAAAAAAAATGCATTCTGGGCAAAATACAATGGCCAAAAATTACATTTGGGGCAAAATGCAATGGAGAAAGCGTAGAAGTTTCGGCAAAATACATACAAAACAAAAGCATTCTGGGCAAAATACAACGGAGAAAAATTGCATTTGGGGTAAGATACAATGGAGAAAAGCTTAAAAGTTTATGCAAAATACATACAAAACAAAAGCATTCTGGGCAAAATACAATGGAGAAAAATTGCATTTGGGGTAAGATACAATGGAGAAAAGCTTAAAAGTTTAGGCAAAATACACAGGATTTTTTTTTTTAAAAATACAAAAGAAAAAAAGGCATTTGAGGCAACCTGCAATGGAGAAAAGAGTAGGGGTTTCGGCAAAATACATACAAAAAAAATGCATTCTGGGCAAAATACAATGGCAAAAAAATTACATTTGGGGCAAAATGCAATGGAGAAAGCGTAGAAGTTTCGGCAAAATCCATACAAAACAAAAGCATTCTGGGCAAAATACAATGGAGAAAAATTGCATTTTGCCCAGAATGCATTTTTTCGTAATGTATTTTGCCGAAACCTCTAAACCTTTCTCCAATCTATTTTGCCCTAGATGCCGTTTTTTTCATTTTATTTTGCCCACAATGCATGATGTATTTTGCCGAAACCTCTGCGCCTTTCTCCATTGTATTTCGCACTAAATGCCGTTTTTTTCTCCACTATATTTTGCCCGGAATGCATTTTTTCGTAATGTATTTTGCCGCAACCTCTATGCCTTTCTCCAATCTATTTTGCCCTGAATCCGTTTTTCTTTCATTGTTTTTTGCCCACAATCAATTTTTTCGTAATGTATTTTGCCGAAACCTCTGCGCCTTTCTCTTATGTATTTCGCACTAGATGCCATTTTTTTCCATTATATTTTGCCCGACATGCATTTTTTCGTAATGTATTTTGCCGCAACCTCTACACCTTTCTCCAATTTTCTCTAACGGTTTTTCCCTTGCCAGCAAGGGTCGGCGAATTAGATTTTTGTCTTTTTTATCGACGCGGGCACAGAAATTTTTGTCGAAGATTGGAAAATAAAGATTAGTCATGGATTGGAGACGGTTTTTTTTATCAATGCTTTTTTATTTTTGTCAACGATTGGGAAAAGAGATTTTGGTCGAGGATTAGAAAGTAACAATCAATCGTGGATTGGGCAGCGTCTCTTTTGTCATACTTTGTAAATATCAAAACGCAATAGACATACAAATCCACCCTTTTCATTGTTAAATCCCAGTCTTTGCCGTGTAAATCTCAGATTTTTGTGGTTGAGACGGTTAACCCTCCACTTTTGCTGGCAATTACGTTCTAATCTGCCCGGAAAATCCCAGTGGCACCAGCTACTCATGGGTTGGTAAACCCCATGAGCTTGGGCGACATGTCTAAAGCCAAGAGCGAACTACGAACATGATGTTTCTCCACTTAGCTATCATAAATCAAACAAATAAATCATAATAAATCTGAGTCAAATTGCTGGTGATTCTTCACGGTTAAATCCACGGTTGAAATCCCCATTTTCAGCGTTTTGTCGCCTAATTTTTGCTTGTTAAATCTATATGTTTGTTGCTTAAATCCCGATGTTTGCTTGTTAACTCCCCATGACACCTGACGAATAAACCACTGTATCTCCATGATATCTCCAGCATTTTCCGTTTTTTTTCACCCATCTGAATGGTTACCCTCTGGTAAACATACAAAAAACTATGGAAAATCACCATTTTTAATGGGAAAATCCAGACTATAAATAGCCATTTTCAATAGCTATGTTAAATTACCAGAGGGTAATCCATATCACACCACCATGGATTTCATGGCTCAAACCAACCATCTTTCCCGGTGAGTTGGAACTCAACGACCAGGAGCTAAGACAGCAGGAGCTGCGCCGCAAGCGCCGCGCCGAGCGGGCGCTGCTGGAGAGCCCGGTTAGCCCAGGAACCTGCTGGGCTGCCGAAAAAATGAGGATTTCACGGAAAAACATGTGGCAACTCTCAGAGTTTCACCATGTTTCACCTGTAAAACTTGGAGTTTCATCTGTGAAAAATGGGAATGGGAATTTCACAAAAAAAACATGACAATTTGACCCGGGACAGTTCAAGTTTCGCAGAGAAGAATCGCAACTTTGCAGATAAAAACGATCTCTTCAGTCTTCAGCGTAAAAGAATAGAACTTATGCCATACACATGAGAATTTAACTAAAAGAAATTGCAATTTCACTCATTAGAATGTCACCTATAAACATGAGAAATTCGCACCACACATGCCATATGTGAAATTCAGTGGTAAAGATGTGGATTTAGATGACCAACAGTGATGATCAAACAAAACTTGCTTTTCACAATCAGTTTTTTTGATTAGCACAGCTATGCAAGCATGATGGTATTGCAACAACTTGGATCTAAAGAAGCAAAAGATCAGGATCCCACCGGCAAACGGCAAGCGATCCAACCGACGCCAATGTCGGGCCTCTTTCAAGTTCAAACTTAGTTCAAACCTGTCAATTGGGGTCCATATTCCTCACATATTTAAAATTATACATAATTATAGATATTCCTCATGGAAGGACCGGAAGGATTGCTTTGAGCTTCCAGGTTTGATGGGAAAACCTCCCCTGCTCCGAGGCAAGTCCAAGAAGAAGCTGCCGGGGGCCTGAAGATGCCTGAAGGGCAAGCGCCTGACGCGAAGCCGTTTGACCTTCTAGGAAAAGAACATTTTGAAGTGGATTTATATGTGGATTTATATGATATTTGTATGATAGCTATGTATAAGATATGGAAAAACATTTCTAAATCCACTGGTCATTTTAAGATAGCTATGAAAAATCGGCTGGTCGTTTTATAAGATAGCTATGGAAAATCACCGTTCTGGATTGGTAAATCATTTGTAAATGGTCCATTTTCCATAAGCAAACTGTGCGTCCCAGCTTGGTGCTTCCCCAAGCTTAGGAAGTGCTGCATAGCGCTGGAGGATGAGGAGGACAGCAAAGGTATGTGGCTTTGGAGATTTAGGGAAAAGCATGGAAAAGCAATCACAATATCAGATGGGTTTCCTAAATGTTGGGGTGGTTTTCTAGAAAAATTGAGAAACTGGCGTTTATTGGGTTTAAAACCGCATCCGGCATTCACAATGACCATAGATATTCGGGCACACCCACACGTAGAGCACACGGATGATGTTTTTCGTTTGCAGAAAACACATGGATTCAGCACCCCAAACGGGGGATGTTGACCAACAGAGGAGGAAAGATCATGACAGATCAACCACAACGGTGGTGATTTCGCACCTTTGATTTTCCGGCCTCCCTCGCCCCAGATCATTTCCCAGGTGCCCCGACCAAGTTTCTTCTGGAAATCCGCATTTTTTTCAAAAATGCCAAGGCGATTGAAAAACCATGCAACAAAACAGGCACAAACAGCGCAAAAGACAGCAAAAAAAGCAAACAGTAACCACCTCAGCAATTATTGGTGTTTTGCTTTTTTCCGCAATTATTTTGCATTTTTTTCGCATTTATACATATATATATATATATGTTGTATTTTTCCTCAGTTTTTGCGAATGTCAATTTCAGCTGCATTCCCAATCGCTTTGCATTTTGTCCCCTCATTTTGTTCTGCGATGTGTTTTTTTTTGGGGGGGTGGAGCAATTTGTCCCCAAAACACAGGCAAAAACAGGGGAGCCCAGTCGTAGGCGGTGGTACCATCTCCCCATATCCTCCATATCCCATGATGATCCATGATGGCTATGGCTCCACCGAAGGACAGCGCCGACAGCGAGTAGCCTCAAAAAATGGTTCGAGCAACGGATGGGCGGATGGGCGCCTGTGATTGTCAGGTGGTGCCCCAGGTCCAACTGTCCAACTAGCTAAGTTGCCAAAGAGTTCACTAGGTTCACTAGGTTCACTGTTGGGTTTTTTCTGATTATGACTATGGCCTCTGGCTAGTTGGATGGGTGAACATGAGCCAACCACACATACCTAGGAGGACACCAGCAGGAACCATGGTGTTCACAGATACCTCGCAGCCTGTCAGGTGATCTGCGCAGGTGTTTTGCTCCCCGAAGCATGGGCGATTTGGGGTCAGAGCTCAATATGATCATACCTACGCATCCACCCCCATGGCAAATCATGGCAACAGATGACAGCCAGAGGGTTGAGAACGTAACAAACATAGATCCAATAAAGAAAACATTAAACACATGGTTGGTTGGTTTGAATCATCCGCAGATGGTCGTCGTTTATGGCATCGGGATGCATTGGGTTAGTTATTGGTAGGCCTATTCTCATTGAGAAGCCCTGGAAAAGAATAGTAAACCACGAACATTTCAACATTTATAAAACCACCAAATGGTAGAATCAGGCGTCCTTTATCCCATTCATATCCTATTATTGTCCCCTTATAATCCCATTAAGACATGGTTGGTTACAATACCCATTAATCATTGATTATTTAAATTAAACCATATTAAACCATATTAAATCACATGAATCATAGAATTGGTGGTAAACCACTATATTTGATGGTAAAAACCATGGTTTCCTGTAGATTTTCCATTAACCCAATCCATTGAATGAAACCATATGAAACCATAGAAATCATGATTGACACCTCTGTGCAGCTGTAGCCCATGGCCCTCGTCGAGAAGCCGCGCGAGCGTGCCACGCTGCCGGCGCATGTGGCGTTCGCCACGCGCCGCCCGAGGACGGAGGGAAGTCCCAGGCGGGGTCGCCACGCGCTCGTGGTAGCACAGGTTGAAGTTCTGGATTGTTTCACGGGGATATGTAAACAAATAAGTAAATCAATATGAATAAATACATATAAATAAGTAAATCAATATGAATAAATTGATAAATATATCAATATAATATAATATGGTTCAAGATTGTGTACTATGATGTAATATGGCTTTCTATCGCTTTATATGGTTGTACACGGTTTATAGGGATAATAATGAGATAAAAATGGGATAAAAATGCATGTATGCTCTGGCAATCAAACGTGGATGGATCGCCGAAACTAGATGGAGGTTTGTAGATTGGATTGGAAAATCATCGAACTACATGGTGGATTTTTCATTGACACGTTTGATGACAGGAGGGTACACACACACATATATATATATATACATACATACATACATACATACATACATATATTCTATATACATATACATATATTCTATATACATATACATGTATTCTATATACATATACATATTATATATACATATACATCAGTATATATATATGTATATATATACATATGTATAGATAGTGTGGGAAACACAATAATAATAAAAAACCGAAATCATCTTGAATGGAAGGTATACACCATCCCTCAATGGTAGGTTTATTATTAGGTTTACCACCGTAGTGGGAAGATAATGGCATACGCAGATTTAATTGTTATATATGCTGATTTAACGAGATATTAATGGGAACGTTTGCTCTGTAAGATTAGGGAGCCCTCAGGATGAGAGTCGGTTTACCAGCTCATAGGTATATCTATATCTAAGAAATCTACCATAAAGCAAAGTTGAGCCGAACCCTGCGGGGGCACCGTATTTTGCTTCAGCAGAGTTCCCGAAAAAGTGGGATTGCATATATGTTTATTTGCCCACACACAGGCACACACACATGTACACACACATATATATATACACATTACACACACACATATATATATATATATATATCACACACACACATATATATATATATGTATTGCCCCCCCAAAGTTTTGTGCATAATGAATCGGTTTTCAACATGATGGTAAACCTACTTTCCATTATTTACATGTATTTATTCTATCTATCTAATCTATCTAATCTATCGAATCTATCGAATCTATCTATCTATCAATCTATCAATCTAAAAACATCTATCTATCAACCTATCTATTGATCTATTGATGTATTGATCTATTGATCTATCAAGAAATCAATCAATCAGTCAATCTGTCTATCTATCTACAAATCTATCTATCTGTCTGTCTATCTGTCTATCTGTTTGTCTGTTTGTTAGTTATCTGTCTATCTGTCGATCTGTCTATCTATCTACCTTATCTTATCTCATCTCATCTTATCTAATCTTATCTAATCTTATCTAACCTTATCTAATCTTATCTAATCTTATCTAATTTTATCTAATATTATCTAATCTTATCTAATCTTATCTAATCTTATCTAATCTTATCTAATCTTATCTAATCTTATCTAATTTTATCTAGTCTTATCTAATCTTATCTAATATTATCTGATCTTATCTAATCTTATCTAACCTTATCTAATCTTATCTAATCTTGTCTAATCTTATCTAGTCTTATCTAATCTTATCTAATCTTATCTAATCTTATCTAATCTTATCTAATCTTATCTAATCTTATCTAATCTTATCTAATCTTAATCTTAATCTTAATCTTTTCTAATCTAATCTTATCTATCTATCCTTATCTATCTACCCTTATCTATCTATCCTTATCTATCTATCCTTATCTATCTATCCTTATCTATCTATCCTTATCTATCTATCCTTATCTATCTATCCTTATCTATCTATCCTTATCTATCTATCCTTATCTATCTATCCTTATCTATCTATCCTTATCTATCTATCCTTATCTATCTATCCTTATCTATCTATCTATCTATCTATCTATCTATCTATCTATCTATCTATCTATCTAATCTAATCTAATCTAATCTAATCTAATCTAATCTAATCTATCTATCTATCTATCTATCTATGTACCTATGTATCTATGTATCTATGTATCTATGTATCTATGTATCTATGTATCTATGTATCTATGTATACCTAGATCGGTCTTGGCTTATGTCTATATACCGATTTTTTTTTCAAACGACGTGTGTATATATATATATACATATATCATGCATTTGTAAATGTATATTTGATCATATTTGTGTATATGTAAAACACCAGTCTAGAACGTCTAAACATGTGCGTATACAGCGCCCTCCTAAAGGCTCAGTTAAATAGATCCTCACATCGACAACGGTTGTTCGGGGAAATCACCATAGATAGGTCATGAAGCACTGAGCGTTTTGATCCCACAGACACTCAGTGCATCACACATATACCGGCACAGAGATATGATCCACACAACGCCATGGTCAAGACTTGGGTAAATCACAGTTGGCATTTTCATAGGGATGTGAATATACCCACCACGTTTGGATTCTCATAGTGGGATGACCACACACCCACACACCCACACACACGCACATATATATATACACATCATAGTGCTGCTGGTATACCCATTATATCCCATTTGTTTTTCCCATTTGTTGCATCCCTTTACTGCAGGATTAAATGCAATTGAACCCCATGAATGGAGGATGTCCCAGCCATGTTTGAGCACCGGTAAATCCATCATTATCCCATTCTTATCCCTGTTAAACAATATATTGAACCATATGAAACCCATATATCAAACCGTATTGAAGATGATTAAACAGTTCTGTTAGGTCGGCACATCGCTTGTGCCTCGTGTTTTTCGTCCCTAAGTGATGTGGAGGCGCAAGTGATGAAATTGTGGAGGCGCAAGTGACGTCTTAGCCCTCAGGTCAACCATATTTTAATCCACAAGAACAAGATCACATCATAACACACCATAATACACCCCATAATAACACATGTTATAACATCATAATAACCATAATAACATAATAATAACACACCATAATAACCATGTTTGATCAGCGTTGGGTAAATCCCATCGAAGCAACGCTGGTCCATGAGGGTGCCGCGAGTGCTTCTGGAGCAGCGCTTGGCTCCGTTGACTCCTGAGCCGGTGAAGCCGGTGAAAGGGCAGGTGCGGCAGGGGCAGTGACCAGTTGAAGCGAAATGTCCTAAAAATGGTAAAACTTCTGAATGATAATGGGGAGTATAGATACATAGTGCACACACACACATATATATGGTTTAATGGATTTAATAGGGATAACAACGGGATAAGAATGGGTTTATAGCTGGGAAAATCATCGAACTATAGCTGATTGATTTTTCAGCAAGCCACGTTTGATTACAGGAGGGTCTATCTAGATAGGTAGACATATAGATAGATAAATAGATCGATAGATAGATCGATAGATAGATAGATAGATAAAGATAGATAAAGATACATAATGTGGAAAACCCGAAACCATAAACCATCTCCCAGATCACTTTCTTTTTGTTAAATGAGTGGGATTCCGACCATCCACAAATGGTAGGTTTGTTTCTTCTTTTTTTTATTGGGTTTTCCCGCACGATATATATATATATATATTGATATTGGACACTGCTGGTTGGAAATGGACAAGTTGACTTGTAGAAATTAGGCGGTGTTGGATAAGATGGGTTGATTGCTTGATTGCTACTGCTAGGAGTGAACTTACTGTCCGGTTATTATTGGGACTATAATTGGGCACATGATGGAGAAACAAGGTCAACCATTTTTAACTCACCAGCAAATTTGTGGATCATTCCATCTATGTAGCAGGTGGTGAGTAAGTGTGGTCATATGTAAGGCACCTGAAGAACCCAAAGGAAATCAACACTTTTTTAATCTTCCTCTCATCGTTATATTAGGTACAGGTGACTTAGGACTTGATAAAGATACCGAGAGGTGGCCAAGTCCTATCTCATCAGGGGTCGGACCCCCCCGGACCAAGTCCCAACTCATCAGACGTCCCTCGTAAATCATGATGACATAGGAATGAACAACCCGTGCTGCCAGGCAAAGCGGCTTCAAGCCTGCAGTAGCTTAAAGTCTGGGTCAAACTTGTTGGTTATAAACCCGAAATCTGGAAGGTTTCCTGGAAAAGAACCGCAAATTTGTGGGTTGACCGGCTGAATGTGTATGTATTTAAATAGCAAGAACAACAGTGTATTAACATCAAAAATGCATATCAAACATTGATGATATGATAATTGTCTGGAAATAGCATGCCGATATTTTGACAAACATATTTTGAACAACAATCTTTTAAATTTCGTTGCAATACCTTGAAAATGAACTACTGAGTGTTTTAAAACTGATTGTGGACATAACTTATTGATAGAAATCAGTTTTTCAAAAATACCGAACCATTATTAAACACATATGCACAATTGTATAATTTCAATGTGTTACACAAGCATTTTTTATTTACCCATCATAAATGTGACATTTTTCATTTCCTAGTTGTTTTCCTCCGGTTGTGTTTCCCCGGGGGAAGCTCCGGAGGTGCGAGAGGTGGCATGAACCCCGGGGAGCCCCATGGAGCCCCCGTTAAAGACAACAACGGGGAGACACAACGGGAGGAAAACAACGAGGAAATGAAAAATGTCACGTTTAACCACCTCACTTAAATTCATGTCAAATTTCTGAAAATAAGGTACGAACCCAGAAAAAACTTAAATTGGTCAGATAGATAGACTTGGTTCTGATGACTTAGGATTTATGTACCTCTGGTGACATACGATTTTATGCGCCAAGTCCTGTGTATGGAATGTAATGTAATGCACTGCAATGTACTGTAATGTAATGTAAGTATGTATGTTCTGATGACTTGGGACTTGGTGCACACAAATCACCTGGTAACAACACCAGTGACTTAGGACTTGTTGCACAAAATCGTATGTCATCAGGGGGGCTTAAGTCCTAAGTCATCCGTACCTAATATAAATAAACATGGCAGAATACGATTCACATGTCCAATTTCATGATATCTCGGCCTTGCGAATGGTTCAATTCAATAAACATATAACTCTATGTTTGCTCTTTAGGTCCAAGCCACCTGCCTCCTTTGCCTTCCGCCAGGGGCGGCAGCACGCCTGGTCCTTGGACGCTGCTGCGCTGCCCCTGCCTTCGCCGCGGCCGGCCGTGGCGTCCTCGGCGCCGCCAGCGCCGGAGCGGCGGAAGTTGGAGCCGCTGCGGACCCGGCGCTGGAGATGTCGGTCGCAGGACATGACGGTGCCGTGGCACACACCGGCGGGGATGGGGCTGGAAACAGTGCCTTGAAAACCAGGAAAAAACAGGAAAAAAAATTGAAAATCATGGTCGGTTTCTGGAGTTTTGGGGGTTGCAGGTTGAAATCAAAGGCTTTTGGGAATGGCCTTGGAGGACGTTTGGCGTGCGAATTCCAGTTGGGGTTTGTCAGCCATGCTTACTGTCCACTTAGATCCGCGGGATGGTCATTTGGCAGGTAGCTAGGGCATTGTTTGTACTCGGCGCCTTTCTCCTGTGATGGTGCAGGGGTTTCAATCCATTTCCCAACTTTCCCAACTGATTGGGGCAAACTCTGAGAAACCCAAATCTTTCTAAGTGACCTCGCAAGAGTGAGCGGATCTCATTTGGGGTTGGGTCTCCGCACTCAGCCGCACTCAGGACCCACAGGATAGTCCACTAAAGGGTCGCTTGCAACGGGCGTTGGCACAGCGCCGTGCCTCTGAGGTGGCTCCATGTGGGGTTCCTCATGGCAGACCCAATGCTGTAAACCTACCATTGGGGCATGGTTTATAGCACCCATTTTTGGTGATTTTGGGGATGGCTCCCATGGCTTTGGGATGCTAACCGGGTTTACAACAAAATCGGAACCATGGCCCGATGTCAAGGGTCTTGGCCGCAAGTGGTGAAATTGATCATGATGGATTAACTGATTAACTCTACCATCTTGGTCCAACATCGCGATCTTAGTATTGGACCTTTGCTGCCCTTCCATTGGTTGTTTTGAGATGATGCCAACTGACCATGTATTTCTGGCAGGCTTGGTCAAACTTCTTCCTATACCATTTATCGTCCCAATGGTTTTCAGCATTTCAAGTTTCGGTCATTCAAACAGCTATAGCCTCAAAAGTCAATTGTCATTTCAAAGTTATTTCAAGTACTTCCGAACTTCCACTCCCATTGAAGAAAGATAGATAAATAGTTCCCCATTTTGGCCGCAGCAGGAGGTCCAAAGCGCCCGAAAAGGCACGGTGCGAGAGCATAAGCGAAGCTTGGTGGAGCCAAATGTCCGGATTCCAGGGGTCACCTGCAGAGACGACTGGATGACCGGCAAATTTTTTCTGCACAAGATGAAATACCTGTATAATCCTATATAATCCTATATAATCCTATATAAAATCCATTAAAATCCGGAGTGGCTTGGATCTATTCGTTTAATTTGGGAGATTTTGGGGTCCCTAAGTAAGTAGCTGGGTCGTGGCGATTCCGCCAGGGTCATCACATGTCATCACCATCCTGGGTCCAGGAAAGGCCACGACCCAGATTGACCTCATTGAGGGGCGGCCCGTCACCAAATCTGAGCGTGAGAAGTGGGATTCTGCAACTTGGACCCAGCGCAGGAGGATACCGTGATGGTTCGCGTTCGAGAGTCTGAACATGTGCCCAGTCTTGGTTTCGTAGTGGTTCTATTGGAATGTCACCGATTGACAGATTGAGTTTTTTTTTCATCCCTCAATCGGTGGCACTTGTGCACCAAGAAACGTTCGTGATCATTTCGGGGCAACCGTTCGAAGCCCCAGCAAAAAAAGAACCATGGAGAGTGCCCTCCCCCATGCCCAGAGAATCCGACAGAAGATAAGTGTAATAAATATACAGTGTGAATATATATATATATATACATATATATATATATATGTATATGCTGTAGCGAGCATGCTGTTGAATTTCTCATACATGACATTTTACTTTAATATCTTCTGCAAGGAAAACATGTCTTGACTCTTGATCATGTTTGGTCTGCAAATGTTAAAATGATCTTTGTTTAAGCAATTTTGGCGGCCTAAGTTTCCCCCTTGATTGATTGAAGTTGTTGGTTTGTTGCGCACAGTTGAATAAGATCGCTAAGATCGCTAAGTAGAAGACCATTGAATGAAGATCATGTCTACACGTCCTTGTTTGCGTTACAAATTTGGCGCCCCGCGTTGCATTTTGGGATCCTGATTTGGGTCCAATTTTGGGCTTAGTTTTGGGTTCATTTTTTGGGCACCGTTTTGAGTCCCTACAAGTAAAAACAACATCAGAGGCCCCAAAATGGTATATATACACATTTGGATGGGGTTTGGCACTTCCCATTCCCATTTTATGTTGACAAGGTACTTTCTTGAATCCGAATATATATATATATATTATGTATATATATATATGTATGTATCGCCTTGTAATTCTTGGGATGCAACCTGGCTCAAGAGTCACTTAACACTGTACCACGCCGGATAGTTGTCTCTTCATGGACGTAATTACCGCTGCCTTCGAAGAGGACCTGCCTCACTTGTTAAACGACCCACTCCCAGCCACCTTATCAAATTGCGGACCCCTGGTGCCAAAACATCATTTGGTTGCTGATTTCGTTCATGTTTTTAGACATTTTTAGATATTTTAATTTTTTTTACATAGTTTTTTCCTACTTCCCCAGAAAAATCTTGGAGGATTTCGATATTTTGAGGCCTTGTCTAAGGCCCCCAGTACTCCCAGTGCTCCAGGCCTTTGCTCGATATCAGTTAGATGGTGAAATTCATGTGGACGAGCTGAAAGGTGCTTTGGTGATGTGTCCCTCGGACCTTCGGCACTGGGAGCAACTGGGTGGGAAGGTAACTGGGAGCAACTGGCCGACCGCGTTGAACCGAATGATATCTATATATAGAATACATATGTAGTTATACACGTACACACACACACATATATATATATAAATATTGCAATTGGAGCAATTGGTAGAAGCCCTGCTGACCCTGATGATTGATGTAGATCGTCTGTGTTGAAAAGCCCCTTCCAGAGTGATTCACTGATACTGTTATGTAATCCAGATGGAACCCTCTCTAAAGCTCACACAGCAGGCAGTCTACTTCTTTTGTCGCCAAAACTGAGAAGTCCAGGTGCCGGTGTAGCCGAACACCCTGCCGGCGAAGCAGAACACACTTCGAAACGGATGCAGCTGCAAATGCCAGGTCGGGCGGCCTCGCCCCTCAAGCAAATGGAGGTGAACCCGGTCACCTATGGCTCAAGATGGAACCCTTTCCCTCCCGCCAACAGTGGCTCGCCTAAGCCGAAATCTAAAGGACATTGATTGGTTTCACCTGAGATACACTGGCGCTTGGAGGGAACGTGACATGTGGACTGCAAGATTTGGTGGAATTCACACTCGTTAAAAATTTTCTGTTTTTCTTTTGGGAAAATTAAAGGTGAAAGTGACTGGTGGCATTGAAAGGTTATATCTCAAGTATCTGTTGCTTCTTTGGATTGGTTCAACCACTTGATTCTGTCCTTGGATTTTGCTCGTTCTTTCAGCAATGCGTCCTCATCACATAGCCGGTATACCCCCATTTTTAGGGTTTCACGAAGAAAACTTGCTTCCATCGATTTTGTGAGGGCATCTGCAAGTTGGGCTCCACTATGTACCCATCGGACTTGAATACCTTCTTTGATGGCCTCCTTGATTGCTCGAGCTACTAAGGACACCCGGAATTCTGAACAAGAAGGAGGTGCTGCTCGGTTGATTAAATCAAACAATGACTTGCAATCAGTAATGGCTAGATCACATTGTTCCTGAATTGTTGGTGCTGAGATGGCTGGTTCAAGCTTGGACAACGCTTCTTCGGGTCGTCGCCACTGCACATTGGGGTCCATCAGCCATGGCCAGAACAACCTAAGCCATGCTAATTGGTCAAGAGCTGCTGCCATCGCGGTGGTTTCAGCGGACAGGGTGCTAGTCACCACACGCTGGATTTTCCGGCAACCCCATGACAACGGACTAATTGGACATTGATGATTCTTTGAGATATTCTTATGGGTACCCACTATGATTACCCCTGCATGAGAATCCGGTTTCTTATGGGATGAGAATGATGCATCTGAGAAAGCCATCAGTCGGAAATCTTTTGGTGCAATAGGTTTAATGACAATATTGACATGGTGATGTTTCTTTGCTTCATGGAGTAATTTGTTGGCTTCTTGGAGATTTTCAACTTTGGCACTGTTAATGGAAGATTGCAAAAAGGAAAGTTTACTGGCAATGTCCGGACGGGTGTTGACTGCGGCATACTGGAGGCTACCGATCACTCCCCTTAGGGCAAGTCGTTCTGGTTCAGTAACATTTTGATCAGGTTGTAGTTTCCGGTCACTGGGAATGTTAATGGGCTTGATCTGTTTAATGTAATTGGCTTGTGAAAGGTGAATGCTGTTGTCAGGTTGTTGAGTGATTTCAATGCCTGTGAAGGTGAATGCGGTACTCTTCTTTGATCCAAAGGCATATTTCTGTTCTAGTTTGTCGATCTGTTGTTGGTAATAGGAATTTCCCCCTCCTACCCCGTCATCTACATGGATTCCAAGAACTCCAGCTAAAGCCCCATCCTTCTCGCGAAGTACAAACACACAGGGGTCAAACGGACAAGCTTCAAAGTTCAATTTTTGAAGTTCGCTCACAAGTGAACAATACCATAAATAAGGAGCATCGATCAATCCGTATGCACTTTTATTGAGTTTGCCCACTTCGCTTGGCAGCATGTTGAGTGCTCTTCTCATTTCCGGAACTGGATCAATTGCTGTTATTCGGTCAGACTGAGGTTGTCCTTGTAGGAAAGCAGCTTTAATGTCGAAGGATTGGAGTGTCCATCCGAAGGATGAAACCGTTTGGAAAATCATCATTCTTGAGGTCTTATTAAGAGTTGGACTATCCCTGGGAATTTCCTCTATTTTCGGGTCTAAATATCCCAATACCACCAACCTTGCCTTTGCCTTGTGGGTCCGGCTGGATGGATTGTTGGTGGAAGCGGCTTCAGGTTGATCTACATTATCCAAGGGTTTCCAAGTTAAAATCCATCGGCATTTGAGAATTTGCTCTTGGGGAATTTCATGGCGAAACACTTTGGTTAGTGTTCCTGTTTGAATCCAATTTTGAATTTCTTTGTCTTTGGCCTGATCAAATTCCTTGCGCTCTGATGGACTCAGCTCTGACAACCGAATTTCTGACCTTTGTTTCTTGGCACTGGTCGCCAGAAACGTCCATGCTTCTTCATTGGTCGGTTGCCGTTGTTCTAGTGGTCTATCTAGCTTGACATCGACTTCGCAACGCCACGCTAATGGACAGTCGGCTGAGACTACCAGGCTGTCGGCAGGGTCTTCACTGATCAGGTACATGGTGTCTGAGGTTGCATCGGATTCTGGGAGTTCATTGCTGTTCTCCTGCTCTGACTCGGGTTGTGATATGGATTCATGAGAGACCATTCTATCTGGAACTTCATCAGGTTCTTCTCTTCCAGAGGCTGTTTCCTCATTCAAGTGTTCGGGATTATTTTCATGATGTGGTATTGGAAGTTCATCTTGATTGTTATTTGTGAAATTCCTTGACATGTTATGTATTTGTTGCTCCAAATTGGTCCATTGAATTTCTGTGTCAGGGCCAGGTGTCCCTTCTTCGGAGAGGGCACCTCGGACATGTTCTGGTGCACGACGGTACAATCGACCACATTGGGTGGTCCACACTGTGTGATTGTCATCCTGAAGTACTACCCTTTGTGGTCCTATCCATTGGGGGTTACTATTAGGGTTATGTTGCCATATCATTACCCATTGACCCTTTTGGAAGAACCCTCTCTGTGGGCATGGCCGGCGAAGCATCGCTCGTCGCAGGGCATCACAGTTGTCGGCTGCATGATAGGCTCTTCTAGCTCTCTCTCGGACTTGCAACATCTCTCGGAACATGTTTGGGGTGATGGTGTCATCTTCTTGAGTTACTTGGGAGTGGGACGGCAATGATTCATCTGACATCACTGACCCTAGGACTCTAGAGTGTCGACCAAACACAATTACCTCGGGAGCATAACCATGGTGTACACTGAGACAATTCTTTGCATGAGTACACTGGCTCAGAGCTAGTTGCAACTCTTCATATGACGTGATGTGGCTTTCAGTGTCCATCCGAGTGAGCATCGCCTGGAGAAATTGCCCATGCCTTTCTATTTTGCCATTTTGCCAGTGAGCTCCAGGACAGGTTGTCGCAGGAAAGCGGCAAACTGTTCGCTGTTCAACTCGGTTCCCGAATCCACCATGATTTCATTGGGAGGTCCGGCCCAGCTAATCCAATGGCGCGTGAGAAGTTGGATCACATGTTCTGTTTCTCTGGAGGGTGATGTGATTGCAACATGAAAATTTGAACCGGCATCTATGATATGGTAAAAGTGAAAGGATTGGCCCTGAGAGTTTGTCCACTTTACCCCATCTACATAGATACGTGAGTTGAATTCCCGTATTGGTTTCAAAATAGCTGGTCTCTGGTGTTTTGGTGGACTACATGCTGAACATGTTGAACATTCGAGCTCTTGCGACGCATGAACAATTTCAGGTCGATATCCGGCTACTTGCAGTGCTCGTGACAGTCGGTCATTGGAAGGGTGACCAAGGTTCTTGTGCATCTGGATAATCATGCGTTGTTCCCACCTTGGAAGAGCTCTGAAATTGGGACCTGTCTGTCGGATAGGTCTTTCCCCTGGCATTACTGCATGTGTCCTATTATCCGCATGAGAAGTACTCGTGGGATTACTGTTGTTATCTTGGATTCCCTCAGGATTATTTTCTGGTACTTCAGCTTCTTGGGAAATGGGAACATTATCACTGGTGAGCGGCGTTGCTGTCACGGGATCTACATGACCTGATTCCGTCTGACTCGGTGCTGGCTGCTCACTTGCTGGCTCAGGCATTGGAGGCATAGGATTCACACCTTGGGAACTTTGGCTCGAGTCATTTTCAACAGGCCAGGGCTTTGCGAACATCGTGACATTGATTCGACAGGCATGTGCTGGTCGAATCAACTGGCGGTTGGCAAGGTGAACCCATTTTTCCCAGTCCTTTTCATACTTGATTGTTCCTGTTCCCCTTTCAAGGATAAAACTTTTCCGGAGAGGTGCTTCCTCTGGATGCATCCCCTTTGGTGGACCTAGGGTTCGGTCGGTTCCTCGACAGGCAATCACATGAATGATCTTTTGGTCATGAAACATTTGCTGAAGTTTCTCCAAGATATTAGGTTCTTGTATAACCCTCTTACCAACCCTGGGAATGATCTGATTGATTTCGGTCATGAGGTTCTGATAATCTTCAAGGTGGTGGTCCTCACTTTGTTTTCCCAAACGTCGACGTTTGACATGGTCATCCCTGGAGGATGGTGTGATCAATTCGGATCTGACAAACTTGGTTTTCTGTCGGAACTTGGTAAGAACATGGATTTCGGCATCAGTCTCTTGACACATGTGGGAAAAGGCTACTTGCCAATTGAACGGCCTGTCACGGTGGTTGTGCATCATGGCTCTGGCTACCTCTCTTGCAAACTTTCGGGGATACACTTCGGTGTATCGACTGCGCAAAACTGTTCCTTGAGGTGTTGTGAAAGACCCTGCTATTGATTGGTGAGAATGGTTACCCTGACAAACTCTCCCATGTAGTAAGAGGTATATTGTCTTTGAAGTAGTAACTACATTCATCCCCTTTTTCATTGGCATTCCATTTGATGGATCCTTGAGGTCTCCAGCATTGCACATGTCAAATTGGCATGTCTGCGTATACTGATACACTTCGGCCATTCCTGGAAATTGCAGCATGAGGGATCTGGCCGGTTGTTCCCAGTGGAAGTGCATTCCTTGAGACACCTGGTGACGAAACAGCACAATTCCGAGGGCAAGTTGATACATCAGGTTATGTCTTAACTCCTGGTATTTTTCCTGGGATTCCATGGACTTCGAGGAATTGAGATACGACCATGATGACCAAGGTCCGCAGTCTGGGCTATACCAAATGTTTCGGGGACGACGCACTGCTAGCTGCTTAAACAATTTGGCACGGCCATCTGCCTGCGCAAGATCTCCTTGCGACAATCCAAATCGAAAACAGCTGCCGCCCTGGGCCTTTACTTGATGTGTCAAGGGGGATTCATCACTGCAAAACACTTCAGCCAGGGTTATGCGGGTACCCATTGGTGACATGGTGGCAACTTGAACATCTAATTCTTCTTGAAATTGCTGAACCAATCTGTGAAGCTTTTTCATGTCAGCATTCATGGTCAGATACACCTGATCTTCATCTTGACACATCAATTCTCCTGGATGGAGTCGTTCGCCTGATCCTCCAAGTGTCGGATCACTCGGCTCAGGGCATTCTCCATATTGAGCATGCGCGTCTGCAGAGCTTGAAACTCCTCCGCATGCTGCTGGTTCAGATCCGTCAGGGGCATAGTCTCCGGGTTGGACATCTCGATATGTGACATGTTTTCCCATGTGGCATCGCTCTCGATGAGTTGGAGGTCTGAGATCTCGGCCTCGTCCACCTCGATTGGAGTGCGAGGCGCTGCCTTGCACTTGGGCTGACGGCGGCTGGTCATTGGAGCTGCCGTGCTCTTGGCCTTGGGAACTCTCACTGGGAGCTGATTCTCCTCGTGGTATTTCAGTTTCAATTCCACGAACTTCATGAGACGTTGATGTTCTGGCTTGACACTGGTTTCGTATCGATTCACCATGAACCGGATCCATTCGGGGTCGGTTCGCCAGACATGTTCCATGGTGGCTCCTTGATGTTTCTCCCCAAACTTGATCTTCTCGGCTGAGAGCTCCTCCAGTGTGAGGTGTGACAGGTCCTCCCCTTTCACGGTCACTTCCTGGTACAGCTTGCTCAAACGCTGGCTCATCGACATGACTGCAAGACTCGGTGCGTTCACAGGATCTGTTTCCTGGTGATGGGTCGTTCTGAGCCAAGTTCCCTGACAGTTCACCTGATTTTCCCTTTGCTTCCCATGTTTGAATTAACTGGCTAACTTTCCGTGACCCTTTGATTTTCTTGATTTCATCAACTGACCCTTCATGTTGTGGTGTTGATTTTTCATGACAAACACTTGAATTGGCTGACATCGGCGGCTGCTTGTTTACACCGTCCTCGGATGCAAAAGTCTCATGACAAGTGCCGGTCTTCGCAGACACTTTGGAGGACTTTGGATTGGTACTGTCGGCCGCTTGAATCATGTCATTCAAATCAACGAGAAAGAGTCCTTTGTTGGTCAACTGAAGTGGCACTGGATTCTTGAACCATGGGCTTGACAGTCTCTGGTTGTGGCAATCGATGTTGGCCTGAAGCGCTCGCATCATGGTGTTACTGATTAAGAACGGTGTGCTACCGGGGACAATTGCAACTTTGAGGTGAAAATCCCCTACAGGTACTACCAATGCCTGGGAACTGGTCAATGTTCCTTGGTTTCCAAACCTGAAAGTGATTTCACATGAACACCGATACAACTTCTGGCGAGTGCTTGGCTGCAGACCGTGAATTAAATCAGACACATGTTCACTGCCTATGACCGTCTTGGTTGCCCCCAGATCCAGCACTCCGAGGGAGCTATGTGTGGCAAAAAGCACGGCTGCAGACAGATTGATTGTATCTGAAATACCTGGTTTTTCTGTGCTGGAACTGACAGTGGTGCCGGACAGACGGTTCTGGTCTCGGCTGGCTTCTACGGATCCTAACTCTGTTCTCTCACTCTTGGGCCGGATGCATGGCGACTCACTCCTGGTGATTCGGGCCAGGAGTCTCTCACGGGCACTAAGGCTTAGGTTCCCCCCATAGCTAGTAGTCCTACCCGAATCATTATGATTCCCCTGAGTACTACGATGGCTATGTTTCTCAAGTCCTACAACAAAAAAACATCCGTCATCCGACCCTTTGTCATGGCACTGGCGTCCTCATCAATGGCGGACTCATTCACTTCGGGCAGCTGCATGAACTCCATGGGCAAACTCTGACTGGCAGCAACGGCATTCCCCTCCGTCACCACGGTGGTGGTGGGTGCAGTGCTGGCGGCTGATGAACCAACTGATCGATTTGATCCAGTTCTGTACGGGCATTCAGCTTTCCAGTGACCACGTCTGCCGCAGGCACGGCAATTCGAGGACATGATTCTGTCCTGCAGGCTGCGTCTTGGCTGAACTCGCTTTCCCTTGCTACTACCCTTCTGGTTGAAGGATGATCCCTTACCCTTGGTGGCATTGTTGGAACCTCGACTGGATGGCCAGAAACCTCGGTTACGGAATTTCTCACTCAGACGGGCGCGTGCTTCTTGGTAAGCACTGTAGGCGGTGGCAAGATTGGCATCATCTTGCAACATTTCCACTGCTGTCTCTTCAAAGTCGGCAATGAGGCAGGCATCATCATCACCTTGTTCTCGAAGAGAGTCAATGAAACTATCCTCCGTCCATTCATCCTGAGCTACATAGGAAGCTTCAGCGGCTTCATCATCATCTTCATCACATGCAAGCAAAGTGCTCTGGTCATACACCTTACCTTTTGGACCTTTCTTGACTCCAGTCATTTCTTGGAAGAAGCTGGCACCTAGAAGGCGGATGGCTTCCGTCACACGCTGCATTGAAAGACTGCCGGAGTTTTCCCGATCACTGTCCAGGATTACCTTCTTCTTTTCCTCGGGACTGAGGCCTGATCCACGCAGAATGATGTATGCTTGAAGCTGTTCAATGGTCAGCTTGCGACTCAGCAACTTGCTCCAGAGAACATCTGTCCTGGCTAAGAAGCTATCATTGGTTTCATCGGCTTTCTGTACTGACTCAAACAAAGCTTTCTCAGCATCATCATATTGTTTCTGTAATGGAATACGGCCCCATTGTCCACCCAGCAATTCAATCAGTCGATGGACTGACTTCTCCTCGCCTGTCAACAGCTCGGATTGGTGCAGCTGTAGCTTTTGGAAAGCGCTACCCTCACATCCAAGGATTAACCTTGTCACCAGCTCTGTCAATTTGGCCTTTGGCCATGCAGCAAGAACCAGTTCAACTTTCTGTTGGTATACGGTCATGTCATCGGATGCAGGATTGAACGTCGGTACCAAGGATGCCAGCTGATTGCTAACACCTGCATTGGGCTCAGTTGCAGACGCAGTTGATTGCGACATTTCCCCGGATGCCGCCCCTTCTGTACGTGGAGTGGGGCAGCTCCGCTACCAATGCAAGTGGAGCAATTGGTAGAAGCCCTGCTGACCCTGATGATTGATGTAGATCGTCTGTGTTGAAAAGCCCCTTCCAGAGTGATTCACTGATACTGTTATGTAATCCAGATGGAACCCTCTCTAAAGCTCACACAGCAGGCAGTCTACTTCTTTTGTCGCCAAAACTGAGAAGTCCAGGTGCCGGCGTAGCCGAACACCCTGCCGGCGAAGCAGAACACACTTCGAAACGGATGCAGCTGCAAATGCCAGGTCGGGCGGCCTCGCCCCTCAAGCAAATGGAGGTGAACCCGGTCACCTATGGCTCAAGATGGAACCCTTTCCCTCCCGCCAACAGTGGCTCGCCTAAGCCGAAATCTAAAGGACATTGATTGGCTTCACCTGAGATACACTGGCGCTTGGAGGGAACGTGACATGTGGACTGCAAGATTTGGTGGAATTCACAATATATATATATATATGTATATAAATATATATATATATATAAATATATGAATATATATATATATGTATGCATACATGCATACATGTGATGGTAATCATCCCTCAAAAATGTCAGAATCGATTTCGAACGATAATTTTCCTGGCCAATGGGGTTGGGAATCTAAGCTGGCCGGATGCTCAAACATGGAGATTTGCCGCTAGGGCCGCGAAAGGTTTAGCGCTCATGCCTCCATCCCATTGAATTTGATCCTGAAAATGGGAGAGAATAGAAACACTCATGGTCCCTTCGCAGCAATATCAAATATCCCCTTAGAATTCCTGGTTTAGTCTCGGATCAGTTCATTTTTGTTCCCCTTCTTTTTGGGAGCATTTAACGTAAACAGGGGCCGGCATGGCAAATTTCAGGTTTCCCAGGGTCAGACATTTTGGCCTAGCCATGTTTGCCAGTAAAATCCCACATGGGAGTTGCACGTGAAAGTTTTTTTTTGATGATTTGTTCACCACTTGACTTGTTCTTACAATTATTTACATAATTCAGTTGGTTTGATCCCAATTCCAAAAAATCGGTGCTAACCCGCAATGGCTACGTCATGCTAGTCTTTGCTAAGGTGGCTTCTGTGATGCAAGGCCCACGGTGGTACAGAAAGTCCTCGAGGGGTTGACCAAGTTCAATAGCTTGAGCAAGGTGGGGATGATCGGATGTGGTAAGGCCACTACTTTGGGCTCCAATTTCAGGTGATTTGTCACCCCAAAAACATTGAGGATTTGGGGCGATTTTTTTTCCATGAAACAAAGGGATTTGATATGATTCAATTGATTCAATATGATAGCCTGCACTGACTCATATTTTGAGCAATTTGGTTTATAACGCGCCTACGTGTTACTGTTACCTGTTGGGTTCATGGTGATTACAAATGCAGTTATATATATATATAGAGGATATTCATAAGCCAACTAACATAACCAGGGGGCACCACATTGATATGGGAAAACAAGTTGTTGATTTCATCGCTAAACTGATCTACTGGTGGCGTAGAGTTTGCTGTGACGGCTATGGAAAAAATGACCCTGAGATTTACCCTCCACTTCAACCAGCCACAGAAGCTGGGATAGCGCAGGCAGAGTTCTACCTCTTCGTGTGCCGTTTTGAAGCGGGACTTCACGAAACCTATGAGTTCCTTTCCGGTTGATGCTTTGGAACATTTGGGTTTGTCTGAAGGCACCTCTAAATGCAATGGATTCGAATAGAACCTCAATTTTTCCTAGTACAATTGCCATTTCTGGCAGTGGCTATACCACATTTTCAGGCACACCCAGTTAGGATGATTTTCCATCCTGCGGGCCTGGTTGTGCCCCTTCTGTATTGCTGTGAGGTGCGAAATCCCTTCCCCACAATTGAAACCCTACTGGACTGGACCTGTGAAAAAATTGGGGGCCCAGGAAAATGGGGGGGTACTAGGAGATGGGAATGAGATGGGATGATGTTTTTGCTTGCAAAAATCAAAAAAAATCCTGGGGCTTTTGCGGAATTGACTTCGAAGATGCTGGGGGGATTTTCTTACTGGTGCTAAACGCAGGGAATTTTCGGGAATGATCCATTTCATCACTACTAATAATCATCCCAGCAACCCCCATTCCTATCCATTCCCTACGTTTAGCACCAGTAAGAAAATCACCAGTTTTAATAGCTAAGCCCAGGTAAACCATCTATTTCTATGGGCCATCGAAAAACCATGGCGAACTGATAGTCATAACCAGAGGGTAAGTTTTTCAGATGTTTCTGACGGGCCCCGCCAAGGTTTGAGTTCAACTTACTGGACACTTGTCATAGGGAGCCCTGGCAGAAACCGAGTCATGGTCCGCCGTTCCTGGCATCCCAGTGAGCAGCAAACGGATAGGAGATGGCAAGCCCAATAGGACACACACACAATATATATATATATGTATATCATATATATATATATATGTATTTATTTTTGCTACCTCCCACATCCTAAAATCTCAAGTTGGACACTTTAGTAAGGATGACTTGTTTGTGTACATCAGCTTTGCCACATTGGCACTACGGTAAGCACTGCTGAAGAACATTTTCCTGGAGAAAAACCTGGGACGCTGGTTGAATCCTTAGCTGTTCAACTTGACAGCTGATTCACTAAGTGATAACTTAGGAAATCTGAATAAGTATCTGAATAAGCTGATGATAGCTGATTCTAATTGACATCAACGTTCATTCCTCTTAATTACAATTTGGTGATTTGTCAGGTCACCGGAAAAAATCCACTGGCTTGGCTGGAAGAGACCATCGGGAAACCAAAGGATCCAACAAATTTTCCAGGTTGGCTTAGCAGATTTCTCCTTGAACCAATTCTGCATTTGGTGTTGTTTTTTCCCCAACAAAAACCCTCAAAAAGATAGAAGCGTAAATCGTCAACAAAACGGTAGAGAATCACTTTTCTGTCTTTTTTTGGGGGGGCTCCCATAAACCAACGAAAATTGCCCATTTAGTTCGATGGTTTACCTATTAATAGCATGCTGGATCTTTCAATGGGCTATGTTAGTCATAACCAGAGGGTAAAACGACCAGAAAAAATCCTGAAGTTTTTCCCAATCGGACAGGGCAGCATCGACGTCTTGCAGCTTGAACAGCTGCTGCGACGGATTGGGCAGCCGGTGCGAAGGTGCCGTAGACATGGTCAACTGGAATGGTCACCCTGGGGATCGGAAACATAGAAAAAGATGTGGAAAACTTTTATTGTTTCCCTAGGAAAATGGTCTGATTTTTCACATCTATGTTCGTTTTTTTGTCCTAGGGTATGTAATACTACATGATTAATGGGGTTTATTGCGATTGAACCACAATTAAACTGATTAATTAACCCAATAACATATGGGGAGTTGATGATCAAAAAAGTATGGGCACACCTTGATGAGGGGTGGTGTCAATACAACCGAATCCTTTGTCATAAGTGGGGGTATATACCAAGCAACCTTATAGCCCCCGAAGGTAGTACTGCAGCCCAAAAAGCACAGCAAACAGTGACATTTATCACACCAGTCTGGGCAATATCTCATCATTTGCACAATGACTAGCAAGGGACATGACCCCAATAAAAATGATGCGAAACATTTTGCAGTTTGGGATGTGTGATTTTACCCAGATGCGATATCACAATATCATCATGGTTGCAAGATGGTGGGGAATCATCCCATGGTGAGGATTTGAATGCATCGCGAATGTTTCTTAAGCCTTCATTTTCCAACATCAGGGACCTTGGAAACAGCATTCCCACTTTGAAGACTTTGAAGGATACATCATTAAGTCATTAAGCCAAAGGTGCACTTCCTCTAGCACTTTCAATATAGTGCAAACGGGTGCTCCAGCACCATTGTCGCAGTTGGGGCAGTCCCCGCAGTTTTGGATGGTTGCTCTATATCGTCATAGTTGAATAAGGCTGGCATTTTTGCGTCGCCTTGTTCCAGGTTTTTCCAGGTTTTTCCATTTTGTTGCGGGGGATTTCTCCAGAACAAACTTGAAGAAATCGGATCATGATTTTAACAGATTTCGAAGCGGTTCCTCAACCTCATCTTTAGCCATATATGGTGGCCTTTGTCGCCAGTGTTGAGGAAATCCTTGGTTCAAACATCAACTTTCCCTAAGGATCATTAAGGTTGCCATTGAAGGGGTATCGGGGTATACCATGGTATGCCACAGTTTCAGACCAACCAAATATCATGTTGCTGCATATACATACATATATATATATATATAATCACACACGCACACACACACACACTTGCTCAGAAAATTCTTATCGAATTACTGTTGTGGAGTGCATCGGGCGTGCACAAACAATCCCCTAAAGTCTGACAGGAAAATAGGATGACTTGGCGAGAAAACCATTGTAGAAGAAATCTTTCTTTGTCCTTGCAAAAAGCAACTGTTCCATCTGACGAAGTCAGCAGTAAATCAGATTGCGAAAACCGTACATTGGGTAGAAACCTGTTGACACCGAAGTTCTGAAGAAGGTTCAGATGCAGCATAATCCATAATGGAGATTGTAAAACCAAACGACATGCCGGTACTTGGCTTAGCCGGTCGCCATTGACGAAATTGGAAAATGGTGCAGGTACGTCCAGCTGGCCAAGCTGGATATCCCATTTCACTGGTAGCTTCGTTGGACACAGTCCCAGTGAAATGCTGTGTCCCCCTGCAAGTACGAAGTAACAGCAAAAAATCGAAAATCAACCAAGTTTGAGCCATAGGAAGTTTTACATCTTTTCAGATGTTCCACACACACGCCTCGCTGCCGCGAGGCTTTTTTCAAATTCATCCGCAGTGAAAGCTCTTATCCGTTCCCTGAAGCGGAAATGGCTTCAAAATACAGGGAAGAATCATCGAATGAATTAATCCTAAAACTCACAGGCTGTCATCAGGTAATGCCTCCATGCGTCGTGCCTGGTTAGACAAAGTCCTTGTGGATTCCGCCAAGTGGCTAGCAAGATGAGCCAAGTCTGCCGCCGAGAAGATCTGAACTGGGTGTCGGGAAAGATCTCCTTCAGGATCCTCCAGACGTTCGAGTATGGCCATGTTGGCCTCCCTGTCATTGTTGAGGATGTTCCAGAAGAACGTTGCCAGTTGATGAATCTGGACAGGAGGTGGATTGATGTCAGCATTGGCAATGAGAGAATCGGTGTCATCCATGACGGATTCATGTGCCGATTCAGGGCTTTCTGGACCTTCAGCTTGATGGGGACGCCAGTTTCCATACGGAGAGGTCTCAGGGATCTGAAAGTAGCCCGCCAGTAGTAGGCAAGCTGGGAGGATTGATCCCATGAATCAATCCAGCCATTCTGTCCGGCACGAACATGGCCGATGATGCCGTTGAAAAAATATTCAGGCTGCCTATTGTGGTGGCGGCCACGTCGATCCACTTCCGTCACCATAAGTCGGCGAAGCGCCGGTTGATCGTCGTCTTCTGGAGGTGATTGGACTTCCACAAAATAGTATGCATGGAGCTGACGTCGGACTTCTTCCATCTCTTGCTGGAGTGGATATGATTCTCCTGTAGGAGTAGGGAGAATTGGAGCTTGATGATCGGCAGGAGATGGTATGGGTGTGGCAAGATTTGCCGAAGAGTACCCATAGTGAGGTGTGTACTCGCCTGATGCAGTAGGTGAGAGGGAAATTCCAGCTTGGGGAGCATTGTCGCCACGGGGCGGATGCAACGGATCCGAAGGAGCAGCAGTGCTACTGGATTGGCCATGACTGCGGGATCTCCATGAAGGACGACGTGGCTTGCTCATGGATGAAGAAGGATGCGCGAGACCGGCAAATGAGGAATCACGCTTGGTCATGGTACAGCTGGAGCCAAGAGCTGAAGACTTTAACAGGTAAAATACAACAAAAAGCAAAAACAAACCACACCTGCGAACGGGAGAGTCCCATGTCCCTTCATGCAAGAGACTTTTAAACTTAAGGAAGCATGTTGCGGTTTGGAAGAGCCTCATGGCAACTCAGGCGCATGATGTAAGGCTGAATGTGAGACGTAAAGGAATGAATGTGATGTGAAAAGAACTCACTATGTTCTTGTCCCTCAGTCCAGTGAGAGCGGTAGGCGTTCAGATAGGTGACGAGGTATTCCTCGTTGCGGAGAACAAATGTATCTCCAATATCATCTTGCCATCTGATGTCCATAGCTGAAGGAGATAAGAATCGATCCCACGTATACCAAATGTGCTGGCTGATGCAATACAACAGGTTGTACACCGTGAAGGTTTCCAACCGGTGTGTATTGAGCAGGATGTTGAATGTGAACAATGCACGTTCTTCGACCGGAGTGAGGCGAGGGAGAACCTCACATGTTGTAGCGGCCATCGAGTCATCATGGGTTTTGTTCATAAGCGGACGGACTTGTTCAATGTCAACGATGACCAAGACCTTTCGGACTTGAGGAGCAGGAGGAGGTTCTTCAGGTCGAGGATTTTGTTGCCAATCATGTTGCTGAGTGCCACGGTTCTGCCACATATTGTCGTCCCGAGAGCGGGAGCGTTCAGGAGCTGTTCGTTGACGATGATATGAATGAGCCATACTTGCTGTGGGTGAACAGACACCGAGTAAGAACATTCATCCCAGGCAAAAGAAAGACAGACCAAAAGGAGAGACCCCAAAGGAAAGACAAGAAGAAAAGCAGAAGGAAGGAGGAAGACACGAAAACAAGTCAACAACAGCCCCAAATGAGGCAGCAATGACGCCTTTTTGACATCGCAGGAATTGATGCTAGAGTCAGTCATCACCCTCAAGTTCATGAGGTGGGTTTCCTGGACCCGGTGGGTCATTCACTTCTGATGTTTGTTTCAGAAGTCCCCAGCGTAGCTTGCAGAGCTGAGGATCACGATGGAGTCTCGCTCCAATCGTTTTCCACGAAGGTCTGGACTTTGTGTCCTGTTTCATGCCAATCAATTCTTGGTCGTCTGCGTGGGTCCACGGACGAGCCGGATCAGGAGGTGTAGCAGCAGGAATAGCATGAATGATGTGCATCTGTGGAGACGGCGGAGCTTTTGGATTGGGAGTCAAGGTAAGAGGAGGTGTTCTGGGTCTTGCTTTCCCACCATGAATGTAGCTGATGTCCTCTCTTGACGCAGCTTCACCATCGGAGTCATCCGAATTCATGTCTCCTGAACGGGCGTCTGAAATAATGGGTAACGAGGTCGAATGGACAGCATCAAGATTGTGGGCGAGTCTAGGTTCAGGAATGGACTCCCCTTTCTGTTTCTTTTTTGGTTGTGGGTCCACCAGAGATGATGACCGTTGCTTTGAACGCACTGGCACAGGTGTGGTAGTGCGTGTTGGGGCCGTAGGGAAGGTAATCGTTGTTGTGGACCCAGGAGTCGGAGTTGGACCAGGGTCCGTCATAAGACCGGCAGGTCGAGATGTACCAGTGGTGAGAATAGATGTATTGATTGGTGGAGAGCTTGTTGATGCCGGTCGCAGGAACGGTTCTGGATTCAAGACCATGTGGGAAGGGATGCCGCCATGTGATACCAAGGTCGGGGGACCTTCGGATGTCGGACGAGGTACAAAAGTGTGCAGGCCTCTGGTGTTTGGATGATCAAGACGGAAATTGGCCGGAGGCGGCGCTTCATCATATTCAATGGAGGGCTCGAAGAAAGGCAAGAGCCCTGCCAGATAGTTGAGATGCATAATAGCTCTAGCCAAATGATGATGGAACGCTCGCCCTTGAGCATGATCCATGAGCGATCAAACGAAAATGGAGCAAAAGGAAAGCGGAGCTTGAGCCAGGAAGCTGAAGGAGGGAAACAAGAGACCACAGAAGGACAACAACCAAGAGGAGGGACAGGAAGAAACCAGAAACAAGAAAGAAGAAAAACAGCGGGAACACACTGAAGAGAACCCCATGACAAAAGCACCAGGAGCAATTTTTGAGACCAGCAAACTCGAGTTCTGATGCTGAATCAAAAGTTGGTTTGAGATGGCCTGAAGTTCCTCATTGGGAAAGCCAGCTCGTACGTATAATCGAATTAGTTGTGTCAAGCCTTGTTGAACACGCAAGGATGGAAAAGCTCCCTTGATGACGATGTGACATCTCGACCGAAAACCGCTGAGCAGGACAGAAGGAGGTGAAGCGGAGAATGGTGAGAGAACTTGTGACACCTGTGT